TGACTCTAGTTGATCATAACTAAGATTAAAGTTCACACTGATTAGCGTGATTCTGAAATTATTTTACTCTTCACAGTGCCTTGCGCAGAATAGGTATTAATAAAAATCACTTGGTTGCTTAATAGATATCATCAATTCTTAATTTCCTCAAGCTGAGTATTTATAACCAGATATGCAGGTATAGAGTTAGTATACTTTTGAAAGGGAGAAAATGCCCAAATATAGTGATGTTACCATAAAAAAGCAATATTTTAGACTTTAAGTAAAAAGAACCATTTGACATTTGTGGGCTTTCTTTTAACAGGGACACAATTGCCCAGGCAGAGTCGACTGTATATTTATAGTGATCTCAGTTTATTGACGTAGCCCAAGCCCGACCAGAGCATTTGGCTTGATGATGTTTTGAGTGTATAGGAGAAAAAGATGAATAGGTCAAGTCTGTTTATAATGAAAAAACAAAAACAAAAACAAAAATAGGAACAAGTCAACTAAAAAGGATAATTCAGAATAAAGAGAGGACTTGATAAAGTGGAATCAGATAAATCTTTCCAAAGGTCTTGGAAAATCCAGGCCCTCAATCTAGAAAGAAGCTGCTCACTAAGATAGAACCAAGTGAGTGGAGACATATGGAATAAATTTTCAAGTAAGGGCCCCAAATCAAATAATATAAATGAGTTCAAGAAACAGCAGTATGTTTTAACAAAAAAAGTTGAGATCACAAGATGCAGTGATAAATCTAATAAAAGGAGCTGAGATAACCAGATAAGAGCAGCTCTTGGGTCAAACCGTCCACTTGTGACTAGGTATTTCTTTTTATCATAGCTTACTGACGTTTGCAGGTGCCTTCAAATGTATAAATGAGTCCCTTGGGCCTTAGCAAGCTCTTTGAGTTACCTGAAGCTTCAATTATGATGAAGAATGTTTCACTCATCTATCTCTGCCTTCCTATCATACTGTAAGGATTGTTCCTGCAACAAACCAGTAAATAGAGCAGTCACCATATGCAGCCATGTCTCCTGATACTTCATTCAGGAAGTCAGCCAGCCAGGCAGGATTGTGACCAAGCAGTAAGGACATGTGGAATTCTCCTAAGACTCTGGCCACAGTGACAATATGACCAAGTAAATAGTATAAATGAAAGGGGCAATTTAAAAAGCATCTACCCCCAAAACCATTGCATTTGCAGCACTCTGCCCAATGACATATTTGTTACTTAAACAGGAGGCTGTTGTTCCCAGTGTTTGCCCTCAAGTTGTTAGTCAGCTGCTGACCTCATAATCTGCACAGCTGCAGCATCCCGATATGTTGTCATGGAACAGATTGTGATGTCTTAATTGATCACTTTCGGGGGTTACAATTGTCAAGCGAAACCAGTATGCTGATTCTTATTAGTTAAATTAAGCCTTGTTACAGCAGAACCAGCTAATTCACTCTAATGACTGGGAAATCCAATGCAAATTGCTGCATTTTGTAGATTAGAGCACATCTAAGGCTTTTTCTTTATATCTTCCTTTTTTCTTTTTGATTTTTAAAAAATTTGTGGAGTCCATACCCCCCAAAAATGCTTTTATTGTACAGTGAAGCAACTTCTTGGAATAGTAAATTGAATGTAACTTCCCTGCACCATATGCATCTTGGAGATAAGTTGGAATGTGCCATATGACACACACAATTTAAATCAGGCATTGATTTGCATGACTCTAAATCAGTTTGGAGGACTCAGCTAAGTGTAATAGATGTCAAGTCCTACTGCAAATCGCCTGGCAGAAAGAATATTGTGTTCTTTTTTATCACTCCAGAATACTGTAGTTACCTAGATGCGGAAAAGTCTTAGAACAAGCCTGATCTCAAGAGGCTTCTCTTTGTGCCTCCTTTGGCCATTGGTGAAGTCTTCACTATGGCATCAACCTTCAGAACCCCATTTCCAAGTGCCGTAATATACTCACCCACCTTGAGTAGACCTATTCTAACCTGGTGTCTGGACCACCTGCTGCTCACCTTAGTCCAGGAATTTTACTGTAGCAGGAGTGATAGTCTCTTTGATAGAAGTTTTAAAATACTTCATAAATGGAACTTTGTGGGCCCTACAAGGCAAGTTTTTTCAAAATTCTTAATTTTGATATCTCAAATAAATAGATGCCTTTGTCTAGCATATTTTATTAGTACACAATAAAAAGTAAATCAAAGAAGTAAAGTTAAATCAACGTATAGCTGTTAGCATCCAACATGCAATGGGAAGAACACATATATTCATCAAAGCAGCTTTTTATAATAGAAAAAAATCAGATAATAACTGAATGCCCAGCGGTAGGCACATAGGTGCATTACGGTATACTCATTTAATTGAATATTTCACAGGCATTACAAATATGTGTGAGGACTATTTACTGACATGGGAAAGCTTAATGAAGTGAAAGTAAATGAAAAACCACAGTTAGCAAATTGTATAAATGGTATTTCTCAACTTGTCTAAAATAATATATCTAGAAGAAGGAAAATGCAACAAAATATTGTAGTAGTTGTCGAGGGGTAGAAATACAAATGTTTTTATTCTTTCAACAATTTTTTTTTCAAGTTTTCTATAACAAGCCCATATTACTTTAACATTTAGGAACAAAAAGCTTTTTAAAGCATTTCGAGTAGTTTCGTTATAACAAACACTTGCTGCAGGAGTCTCTGTTCAAGGCAAGTCTAATAGGTCTGGGAACAAGCTCCTGTCTTCCTCCCCTGATCCTGCTACTCAGTTAAAGGCAGGTCCAGTCTTCTAGTTGTGTAGATTAAACATTGGAAGTTATCCCTGACTCTTCTTTCTATCTTGCATTCCATCTGCTGGTCAACCCAATAGGCTCTACTTTCAGAATATATCCAGCATGTGACCAGCTTCTTGCTGCCTCCTCTGCTACCCGACCTGGTCCAAGCCACCATCTTCTCTTGCAGTGATTATGGCAGCAGCCTGCTCTCTCGGTTTCTGTTCTTGCCGTTTTTGTGTCAATTTTCCACACAGCAGCCAAAGCTGTTAAATTATAACTTAGATAAGTCACTTCTCTGCTCAGAGACCTCCAATGACTCCTAAGTAAATGACCCTATGTGATGTCTCCTCTGGCATCTCTCTGGCCCCAGCACCTACTCACTCACCTTAATGCTTTGCCAGACCACATTGCTCTCCTGATTGTTCCTCTCCTACCTTGGGGTGTTGGCAGTGGCTTTTGCTTTTCAAGAATACTTTTCCCCCAAATATCACCCTAGCCAGCCCTTTTCATTCAGGTCTCTCTTCAGATGTCATTTAACCCTCCACCCCAGGCCTTTTCTGATCACTAACAAACACACACATACACACACCCTATCCTCCTTCCTTTCTCTGATTTTCACTATTTTCATCTATTTCTATATTCATCTAACATATTATATACTTTGCAGATTTGCTTATTGCCTTTCTCTCCAAAATTGAATGTAAGCTCTATGAGGACAGGGATATCTGTTAAAAATTTCATAGCTCATTTCCAACCCCTAGAGCAGTGTCCGGCACACAGTAGTTGTACAATAACTACATCGGGTCCTGATCATTGATAGGAAAGATTATCTGTTGCAGCTCTGTGATAGTTATCCTGGTGACTTTTCTGAGGCACTTTGCCTATCAATTTACTCAGCTAGATTGAACTTGTTGGTAAGTTAATCTGTTTCTTCTGGATCACTTTTCTCTTTTTATCTACATTAACAATTCTAGATAAATTAGAAAAGCTCATTTCTTCCCATTAAGTTCAGTGTTCAAGCTCTTAATAAATTATTTCAATTCAATTACTTTCATTTTCTAACTTGACTGCTATATATTGAGCTCTTAAAGTATTCCAGGAACTTCTGGGGAGTGGGATTAAATGAAGAAGACAGACTCTAGTCTTATAGAGTTTACTGTCTAATGCACAGATATAATTAAGCAAAAAAATAAAGTGCAACACTGGTACCCAAGTGAGAGAGACCACTGACTAATAGGCACAATAAAAATCCAAGCTCAAATGTCAGCTATAAAATGTGGACTTTCATAGAAGGGAGATGAGGAAGATGTATCAATAAAGCATGTTGCTCCTTTATCACTCTTTTAAAAGATATGATGAGGTTTCTTCATGTGGGAGGAAACTGGCAAAATGGATTTAATTATCTTTAGAGGAAAGAATCAGAGAATAATGGAAAGAGCAGTGGGTTTAGAGTAAGAAGATTTAGGTTTGAACCTACCACTGCAACTTGAATTTATCATTTGCAAGTCCGAAAAGCTGGTGCTTAAACTCTATGAGTGTCTTTTGCCTCTTTGGTTAATAAAAAGGGAGAGTAGTGGTTAGAGTAGCTTTAGAGACTGTGTATGTGCCTTCCATGAATTCGTAAAAGAAGCCTTCCCTTATCTACCTAGAATAAACAAACACAAAGGCCAGCTAGCATGGGGGACACAAAGTTTTTAAGAGTCTGTAATATTTTTACTAGCTTTAGACTTGTCTTAAGTAGCTCAGGGTTCTGAAAATCTTTTTCAGAGCCTTGTCCATTTGCTGAATTTTTCATATTTGTATCAACTGCTACATAACCATTCATACATATACATAAATATAGAATCAATGCCTAGATATATTCCTTTTGCCTTTTTTAAGCCATCATCCTTATTAAAGAGAAATCTTTTTATGTTACCTTATTTCATTTGAAATTACAATTTTGAATGAAAATACATTTACAGGAGAAACAAATGACTTAATTTTAAACCAACACAAGGGAGTAGAAATTAAAATTATTTCTTAATAATCTTTATTCATTTTTAAATAAAAGCATGTCTCTAGCTTGATAACCTGTGGCAGCTACCGTAGGATTGGTATACATATATTTCAGAGATATTCCCATGCTCAGCAGTTATATATATAGTTAATGTCTGAATTTTCTGTTTTCCCAGAGAAACTTGTTCGGTTAGGTGGAGATTACTAATTTACATGTTTCTCCTCTGCCTCATTTCTTTTTCTATTTTTCAGCCTTTGCAGCTGGACTGTGACCTTTGTGCCATAGTGTCAAACTCGGGTCAGATGGTTGGCCAGAAGGTTGGGAACGAGATAGATCAGTCCTCCTGCATTTGGAGAATGAACAATGCCCCTACCAAGGGATACGAAGAAGATGTTGGCCACATGACAATGATTCGAGTTGTGTCCCATACCAGCGTTCCTCTTTTGCTGAAAAACCCTGATTATTTTTTCAAGGAGGCAAACACTACTATTTATGTTATTTGGGGCCCTTTCCGCAATATGAGAAAAGATGGCAATGGAATCGTTTACAACATGTTGAAAAAGACTGTCGATGTCTATCCGAATGCCCAAATTTACGTTACCACAGAGAAGCGCATGAGTTACTGTGATGGAGTTTTTAAGAAGGAAACCGGAAAAGACAGGTGAGTTCTCTGAGAAGCAATGTTATTGTCCTTTACGCGAAAACTTTGCTGAGTCCTTTTGTCAGCTATCAAATGAACAGAATTATTTTTCAATCTGATTGTTTTATGTTTTTGATTGTTATGCTTACTTGATGAGCCAGCAGCTAGGCCCTATTTATTCCACCTACACTACCTTCTGTTCTCTCCATTTTTGATTGGCTTGAGGCTCCAAAAAACACTGGATGCTTCCCCAGAATATCTTTAGATTTGTTCTTATTTAGCTTAATTCTCTATTGGTTGAATTGGATTTTAGTCAAGAGGAAGTCTACACGTTTCTGTTTTAAAACAGAAACGTTAAAGGACTTTAGGGCCTAAACTCCTTTGGAAGTTATGGCAAAATTTACCTGAGATCACAAAATGGAACAGGCTATTGATTTTCTAATAAAGTTGCATAGCTTCTTGCATGCAAATAGACCCTATGATCATAAACATCATAATTTTGTATCTAAAATGTTAAGTATAATACCATATTGAAATTATGCATCACTTAAAATCATTAACATGAATTCTTGAAGAGAAATGAGGTATAAATAACATTCACTCAATTATCTAAAAATCTATTTGCATTTTTTTATTGCATTTCTTTTATTTTCTGTAGAATTCTTATAAACCACCCTTTCCACTTCCTTTTCTTGAGGCCTGCTTGCCTCATTCTTCTCCTACTCCTCACTTTTCCTGTTTCCTTCCTGTTTCCTCTTCATCCCCTTCAGGGCCCATGTAATTCTATTGCCATTTTCCTTGCTCTTTAGAAAGCTAACCAGTATATGAAAGAAAAGCGAAATTATAAATCAGTAGATCTGAATTCCTATCTCTACTTCTAATAAAGAACTGCTGAAAGAAAGTATTGAAAATAATTGCTAAAGTTTTAAATTACCTGTGAATTTTGCTTGTTCATCTCACCAGGGATAAATTGACTATAAGTCCAATATTAATATTCTGATTCCTCAAAATGTATATCATTTTAATATTATCAGATCTAAACTTTTAACTATATTGGGGTATGTGCTTATAGGGAGAAGTTTCTGATATCTCTGGGTATAATTTAAATGATAATAATTATTTTAAAATCTTATCTCTTATTGACAATAAAGGTTGAACTTAGTGTTTTCTACTTCTGAGCATCAAAAATGTACAGCTTCTAATGAAATACAAGGCAGAAATAGCCATAATATTGGTCCCTTTACTATCAGTTAACAAGAAGAATCCCAATGGCTAGATTTGAGTCAGTGCAGCACAAGCTGTCCAAAGAGAAAGGCAGTCTGAGATAAAAGACGAGTACGTACGTGCTTCAAAGAAATACTCTCACTTGTAGCACCAGTCTGTATAAATAAGACCATTCTTGAGGGGCTTTGAAAATTTCTGGTTTCTCACTAGCCAAGAGCAATGCAATTAATTAGATATATTTGGGTTTTCATTAGTTACAGTTGGCCCTTGGGGTATCCCTGAGTCATAACTGTAAGCCCTAGAACCATTCTGCGGTATCAGAGAAGAGCTTAATATGCCATATGTTTCTATGTGTTTATATCATGTTGGCTTTTGCTGTGAGCTTTCAGTGAGACAGCATTGTCACAGATACATGGATTGTAGAACAAGAACTCAGAGAAAATAGCTTTGGGAGATGCATTTCCCTACTGGCTATGGTGAAGAAAGTTTGTGTAGAGGAAAAAAGCTTGCTTGGTAAAATTAATTTGCAGGTATCATTCAGAGTTACCAAAATAAATGTAGAAAAGCCAAAATGATTTTTTGATGTTTCCTTGCTGTTCTCTTCACTGAGTCTAATCCTGTTTGGTCGTTTCACTGAATATTCAAACAGACCAGAGAAGACAACTATGCTAGTTGTTTTAGAAATGAGCGAAGTAGATGGTTTTGGTAAAATTTGGTTGTATGGCATAGACTGATTAAAATGACCTCAAAAGCTGCTATCTCCACTATGATTTAAATCTATATCCTAAATTAAGTTGTGCAGATATTCTATAGTAACTTGATGTTCATTGCCAAATTTCAAACAACAATATTTAAAAACGTTTTGTGAAGGAAAATGTCAAACTTATAAAGTAGAAAAACGAATGGTATAATGAGCCTCTGTATATCTACTGCTCAAATTGAATAACTATAAACTCATGGCCAATCATCTAAGGATTTTCTATAGTAACTTGATGTTCATTGCCAAATTTCAAACAACAATATTTAAAAACGTTTTGTGAAGGAAAATGTCAAACTTATAAAGTAGAAAAACGAATGGTATAATGAGCCTCTGTATATCTACTGCTCAAATTGAATAACTATAAACTCATGGCCAATCTTGTTTCTTCTATACTCAAACACACCTTTTCCCTCTCCAAGGATTATTTTGAACGAAATGCTGGCCATCATATTATTTCATTCATAAATATTTTAGCATGTATTTCTAAAAAATAAAGATTCTAAAAAATAAATACAATGCCCATTGTGTTACATAAAAATCAGCAATACTTCCTTAATAACATATATTTAGTCTGTTTTCAAACTTTTCCAAAAATCTCATTAATATTTTTAACAATTAATTCGAATCAGGATTACCATTAAGGTCCATACATTGTGCAATGAGCATGAGGTCTATACATTGCAATGTATTGATAGGTCACCTATATTCCTCTCAACCTATAGCTTCTTCTCTCTATCTTGCTCTATTATTGAGTGGTGGTGGGGGAACCTAGTCATTTGCCCTGCTACTCCATTTACCCCATGACATGTCTTCTATGTTGATATTTCTATTTTTGAGGCTTTACTGGGATCCGGTTCTTTTTTTTTTTTTTTGCCAAGACCATTAGGTGATACTTTTACCAAGAGGAATACTGTCTAGTTTTCTCTTTTTATATGTTAGAAATCATTAATGATCATTGTCTATATCTAGTAATTCATTAGAGGTTACAAAATGGTGATATTTCATCATTTCGTGTTCATTTGTCTGCTGATACCTTTTATAAAGAGAAATTTGCCCTCCTTAACCATTGGGTTACCATGAGATAGATAGTACCAGTCCTTTCACCTTATCAGTTTTAAGGCTTCGGTTCCTTAACATGATCCAAAAGTGACCAGTAAGTTTATTATTATCAATATTTACATAATGACTTATATACTTAAACATATATTTTAAATATTTTAGTTCATTAAAATTCTATTCTTATGTTCAAGTTGTCCTATTTTGGGCTGTGAGAACTTTCAAATTGGCTTTTCAGTCTTTTTGACATGTCTTTAGTAGTCTTGGATCACTTCTTTACTTCCTGGTATTATAGGATGTTTCAGGCTCTTCTTGTACATATTCTGATACAAATCTGGATTAAGACATTTCTCAAAGAACTCTGGTACTCTTGATATTTAACAGAGCATAATCTTGGTGCTACAGTGCTCATTGCTACTGGGTTGGTCTTTGGTTCTTGGTCTTTTCATTGGACAGAGGTAGTATATCAACAACATATGCCGTATATATTAACACTTTTCCCATTAGACAAAAACGTGTAGCTCGCTGCCAGGGTTCATTTAACATCATGCGTAGGAAAGCCCTGTTTTCTAAGATTTGACATCTTTGGCTATCAAACCCCTAAAAACAGAATGCTATAAATAGAATGATGTCATTTGTTTCCAAAGACTATCAATATACTAGAGTGATACAAAAAATAATAACAAAAGCGAGATATTTCATGGCAAACTTTGGGGGTAAGGTAGAGACTGTAATCCGCAAGTTATATTAGGGTAAATGCTACAGCCGTAAGCGCCACAGGCAAGTATTCTCAAGGCAAATGAAAAAAAGGCTGAAGATAAAGTCATTATGAGTTAAAACTGAAATCAGGGCTACCAGGTTTTTAATTTACCCTAGTCTCACATTTGTTTATTCTTTCTGCCACATTGATAATCCTAGGTCTTAGAGACAACAGTGTAGTTTACTCATTTGCTTTATCCTACAACATATATACAATGATCTTAAAATAAGAATAATGGCACAACCAGCAATATTATTACTGTAAATATTTTTAAATTATTTTGCATCAACAAAGCCTTTTTTAAATTTTTTAAAAATTTTATTAGTTTCAAGTATACAGGACAGTGGTTAGATATTTATATAGTTTATTCAATGATCCCCTTGATTGCTCTTTCTTTCCTCTGGTTCTCCACCTAGCCATTATATTAATGCTAACTACATTCCCTATGCCGTGCTCCCCAACCCTGTGACCATCTATCAACTACTAATTTGTACTTCTTTAAACCCTTCACCCCTTTCTCCCAGCACCCCATCACCCATCATCAAATTGTCCTCTATATTTGTAAGTCTGTTTTCAATTAGTTTGTTCTTTTTGTTCCTTAGATCTGCATATAAGTGAAATCAATGGCATTTATCTTTCTCTGTCTGACTTATTTCACTCAGCAAAATAACCTCTAGGTCCATCCATGTTGTCTCAAATGGTAGGATTTCTTTTTTTAATGGCTGAGTAATATTCCATTGTATATATGAACCATAACTTCTTTATCAAATCATCTGTTGATGGGCATTTAGGTTGTTTCCATATCTTGGCTATTGTAAATTTTGCTGCCATGAACATAGGGATGCATAGATCTTTATGAATTATTGCTTTGGTTTAAAGACAATGTTTTATGGCAAGCATTCATGTGGATCCATGCTCACAAAGTGTGTATTGGTTATATCTTAACGAAAGTTGTAAATATTTTTCTCCTAAGTCAATAAGAGTAAGTTAAATGGTATACATCATTGAGAGAGTGAGTAAATAGATAGGCCCATTGAATTTAATACTTGTTGTAAAGCTATTTTGATTTGCTTGTGCTTATTGGAACTTTTTAGCAAGGGCTTATTTTCTTCGAGTTTTTAATGGAGAGGTTATATCACCATTATGGTACATAATTTCTAGAATTTTTAAAAATTCTGTCCTTAATAGTTAAAGTGATGCATGATAGGTAAATGATTAAAT